TGGACTGCAAGGAGATTGAACCAGTCCATCCTAAAGGAAATCAGTCCTGAATATTCACTGGAAGAACTGATGCTGAAGCTGAAACTCCAATAATTTGGCCACCTGATGCAAAGAACTGACCCATTGGAAAAGACCCTGATGCTGGGAAAGTTTGAAGGCAGGAGGAGAAAGGGACAACAGAGGATGAGATGGTTGGATGGCATTACTGACTCGATGGACGTGAAGTCTGAGCAAGCTCTGGGAGTTGGTGATGGACAGGGAAACCTGGCATGCTGCAGTCCATGGGGTTGCAAAGAGTCGGACACGACTGAACGACTGAACTGGACTGAAACAGGTGTGTGTTTTTTGGTATGACCGGTAGTCTCTATACCCCTGCTCTGTGAGTTTGGGAGGAAGGGCCATGGTTGGGTTTGCTACCATTATCGTGGGCTGCAAGGCCTCATGACTTCACACCTGCTGTTTGCCAGAGCTGGGGCATGGCCCTCTGTCTTGCCTGTCACTGTTCCTCCCCTGGTGACCCAGAGGCCCCTTGCTCCAAGCTCCCTCTTCTAGGCGGAGGTATTCTGTGGATTGGGAGAGGGTATCCCTGCTTTTCCTTGTGCTTCTTCCTACAAACCTAACTGCTCCCACAATCCTCCCCAAACCTGCCACAGTCTCATGGGAAATAAAACCATCACATCCAGAGGCTGCCTCGGTTTCTACCACTTCCTTCCTATGAAGCAATGAAGCGCATGCCTGCTGGGGTGTGTTGATTCATTTAACGAATGCTAGCAGACAGTGCGTGTTGTAACATGAGCTCTTGTAGGGACTGGGAGTGCCTTCTTGAATAAAAATACAGAAATCCCTGTTCCTGAGCTTCCATTTGAGTGCAGAGAAAGGAACAATAGATAACCAATTTAAACAGGATGCTACCCAATGATGCGTGCTATGAAAAACAATAAAGCCAAGTAAGATGGGGGCGGGGGTGGACGCGGTTGGTGAGGGATACAAAAGGGATTGCAGTTTTAAATCAGGGATCAGAGTAGACCTCGCTAAGAGAGTGACATTTGGGAAAGAAAAGGGAAACTGCAGGAAGAAAAGCATACATTAAAAACCACTTTGGGGACCTTCCCTGGTGGTCCAGTGGTTAAGAATCCATGTTACAAACGCAGGGGTCATGGGTCTGATCCCTCACTGGGAACCCTGCCCAGCAGGGCTAAAAAATTTTAATGGTTCTTTGTCACAGAATAAATTTCTGACTTTATGATTATTATTTACTTATTCAGCTGTGCCAGGTCTTAATCGTGGCATGCTGGCTCTAGCTCCCTGACCAGGGATGGAACCTGAGCCCCCTGAAGTAGGAACTCGGCATCTTAACCACTGAACCACCAAGGAAGTCCCAAAGTCCTGGCTTTAAACATGGACCTCAGGTTGTTGGTAGCTCCTGCTTTCCGCAATCTCATCAACACAAAGTCCACATCGTACAGAAACACACAGGCACACTCTATCTCCATATTCTGATCAACCCCCAGTGTGCATACTCCCCTAAGCTGCACAGCCCAGATGCCTAATGTTGTGTTATGTATTATGTATATACTATACATTATGCTACTCATAGCATATATATATATATATACACACACACACATATTTATATGTATATATATAATAGCAGAGGTTTGTGGAAGAACAAGGGAAGTTAGCTGAATAGAGCTATGTGGAAAACATGTAAAAATCCTAGCCATAAAGTATTCAACCCCAACCTCAAGCTCCCTTATAACTGTAGATCATCAGTATATGAAGGGGCAGTTAGAGGTCATCCATTCCAGAAAGGCCCAGAGAGGGATAGCAGTGCCCATGGGGTCACACAGCCTTATCTGCACATCAAAGCCAGATATTCTGCAGAAGTAATATTTTGTAGACTTTGCATGAGACATCAAGTTCCTCTACTGAATCTCAACAGGAGAAATGACTGTTTGGATTTTCCCTCCACCAACTGAGCAGGCATGAGCTGACCTCTGTGGTAACTGAGACAGTACCGTCTTTTCTGACCGGGGATTCTGTCCTATCCTGGGGCTGTAGGTGAGCACTGGAAAGACAAGGGCAGATTCTCTGCTGTTTCTCAGGAGAAGGGGAGCCTACAAGTACAGAATCCAGAAAGAATCTGTTGCCATGGACTGAGGCTTGGCCACATATGGTGTTACCTTTATGAACTGGGATTCTGTTCTCTGCCTGGGCGCCAGAGGAGGGGTGTCTTTGGTGGTTCAGGAAGTAAAGGGCACTTTAGAACTTTAGGACTGTTATAATCATAACACACATAAGGAAGTGAGAATTAAGTGTGAAGTTCATCAGATTGTAACAAGGCCAGCAAAAACAGTCAAATGAATAAAGCTGTGTTGAAAATCCTTCGATGCAAGGTGGGGGAGTGCATGGGAGCCTGCTGCTGTGAAGGTTAAGTCCTCTTATTTCTGTTGCCCAGGTGAGACCCAGAGAGGTGAGAAATCACACCCAAATCACCAAGCTCTAGAGGCCCAGATGCTTCAAGGATACCTCTTTTCCCCACTGCTTCCTCCATGGGGCCTGGCACATCCCTGACAGCCGAGGCCGTCCCCCTCAGACCCCCTCACAGTGCTGGCCCCATGCTCTTCCCTAAGGCTGCCCAATCCCTGATTTCCCTTAACACTCACTGTCTTTCAGACTGAGGCCCTTAGAAGCTGTGTGACTTTGCGCAAGTGGCTTGACCTCTGAAGTGGCTTCCTCTCATAGTGTTGTTGAACCCAAGTTCATGCGCCCGATGCACAGTGAAACCAAACCGACCGAGATGTCAGAGTTTGGAGCAGAGAGAGGTTTATTGCAGGGCTGAGCACGAAGAACAGAGCAGGTAATGCTCAAAATGACTCAAAATCCCTAACGGGTTTCAGGGAAGCATTAAAAAAAAAAAGTTCTTTATTTATTTGTCTGCATTGCATCTTAGTTACAGCATGCAGGGTCTTCTGTGTGTCGTGTGGGATCTTTCCTCTCTATTTGTGACACATGGATTCCAGAGCACAGGCTGAGTAGCTATGGCATTCTGGCTTAGTTGCTCCGTGGTATGTGGGATCTTAGTTCCCCAACCAGGGATCAAACCCATGTCCCCTGCATTGCAAGGCAGATTCTTAACCACTGGACCACCAGTGAAATCCCTTTGGGGAAAGCATTCTTTTTTTTTTGTGGGGCATGGGAAGCATTCTTAAAGACAAGGTGAGGGAAAGGAGTTGCAGGGTGTGTGATCAGCTTGTGCACAATTCTCTGACTGGTTGATGGTGAGGTAACAGGGTGATGTCACAGGGGTCAACAATATTAATCCTCAGGCTCCAGAGGGTCTGGGGGTTACACACTCACGGTCATCTAATGTTAACTTCTTCTATTTGGTGGGTTTTAGCATCTGTAATGGAGAAAGCAATGGCACCCCACTCCAGTACTCTTGCCTGGAAAATCCCATGGATGGAGGAGCCTGGTAGGCTGCAGTCCAAGGGGTCGCTAAGAGTCGACATGACTGAGCGACTTCACTTTCACTTTTCACTTTCATGCATTGGAGAAGGAAATGGCAACCCCCTCCAGTGTTCTTGCCTGGAGAATCCCAGGGACGGGGGAGCCTGGTGGGCTGCCGTCTATGGGGTCGCACAGAGTTGGACACGACTGAAGCGACTTAGCAGCAGCAGCAGCAGCATCTGTAAAACAACTCAGGAAATTTGCATCAGATACTGTTATCTAGATACTTCAGGAAGGAATGCAAGATTCTGTGACTGCCATATGGCTGATTTATTTTTTAAGTTCTTACCAGTTTCTCCTGGCTCAGCACCCAATTCTTGTCACTACATGTTCACCCTTTCAGTCACCAATTCTTGAGTCAGGTTTTCGTGGCTCAGGAGAGACTTAGGAGACGAACTTTTCTACAAAGAAGAAGCAGGCAGAGGACATGGGGAGGGTCTGTCCCAGGAAGGAACCACAGGATCCCGTTCAGTTACAAGAGAACGGAAATATTTGCTGCTAACGATGACAGCGGGTACCATTTTTTGAGCAAGCTCCCACTGCCAGCTTCTCTGATGAGGGTTTAACACGCAAGACTTCACTTAAGCCTTACAATAGCTCTATGCCATGCTTCTATTATTCCTTCCATTTTACCCACCAGGAAACCAAGGCTCAGAAATGTAAAGCCATTTGCTGGAGGTCCTGTAGCCAGTTCTTGTTGGCGCAGGATTTTGAAATGAGGTCATATTCCAGGTTCAAGGTCTGCTAGGCTGCCTCTGGTAAGGCTTCTCTAAGAAGCCATTTGCCTCCTAGAAGGACTGGCAAAGGGTTACTAAATATATTTTAAATTAAATACTGTTAAAAGTCCCTCATCCCCTATAAAACTCTCCCCACCCCAAGCAGGATGGATGAAATGGACAGAGAATACAGAAAAACGGCTACACGAATAAGAAGAAAGTTTACCATCCTAGTTATTAAAGAGATACAATTAAAATTATAACCGTGTATTGCTTTTCGTTTCAGATTTTAAAAGACAAGAAGAAGGAGAAGAAGAAGAAAAAGAAGGATGGTTACATGAAAAGCTAGGGGCATAATTTCTTTAATTTACTTCTAACTTCTTTTATCACGTCCAGAAGATGGACTTAACAGGTGTTAAGCTGTTTATTATAACAAGCAATAAATCCTTTTATGATCATTGAAAGACAAGTCAAGTGCAAAACAGGAAAGGGCCCAAAGGGAAGGCAGAAGGGACCCCGCTGAGCCGGCGGCTCTGGCCCGGAGGCCGGCTCCGCTCCCTTCTTGGAGCTCAGCAGGAGGCCCGGCCGGTGGGTGCGCCCGAGGATGCGGGGAGCACTGTGGGGACCACAAGTCCCAGGCGCCCGCGCGCGCGCCTCGCCCGGACCACGTGACCGCGCAGCCCCGGTCGCGATCGCGGCGGCTGTCCGGGCTCTGAGCCCCAGTCCCGAGCGAGCAGACGCGGCCCCGGCGCCCGGCCGCCCAGCACGCTCACCATGGCGGTGAGTCCGGGCGCCTCCTGGAGGAGCGGACGCGGGGTGGGCGCTGGGACCCCCGAGCAGGCGACCCCGGGCATCCCGCGGTGCCCGCTGCCCCTGGCAGAGGGCCGGTGAGGGGGTGTGCTGGCAGCAGTGTCAGCATCGGGAACTGGAGAGCTGGCCGGGGCTTTGGGGTTTTCTTTCTATTTGTTCCTCCTGCTGGGAGTCAGTCCGGCATGACTAGCAGTCACTACGCCCTGGTGTGGCGCGCCTGAGGGTCGGGGTGCGCTGCGTGAAGACAGTCGGGGGGTGGGGGTTCCCCCTGCTCTGGGCGCGGTGACTTGGAGGAGATTGCGGGGAGGCGCCCATGAGGAGGGAATTCTCGGAGCATTTCAGCCGGCGTCTGGGCGCGCGTACACACCCCCGGGGCGGTTCCCTGCCTTCTCAAGTTCGAGATCTGATTCTTTTGGGGAAAAAACAAACAAACAAACAGACCTTGCCACTTTCCATCCTCTTACACTTGGGTTAGAAATAGCGTTTCAGAGAAACTAGTTTTCTTGGTAGAGTTCACCTGGGCTGGAGAGAATGACAGCTTGCAAAACTCTTCAGTCTATGAATAAATCATGTACACAGTTTTCTTCCTCCAGGAAGAATGTCATAGAATTGAAGATTCAGGAAGCCAACGCAGGTCATTTAGTCAAACGCACACACCCAACTCCCGACGGCCCTCTAAAAGGGGAAACAGATGGGAAGGGTTTATATGAAAAGTTCTCCAGCCAGGCAGTGGCAGGACTGGGACCTTAATCTGCCCCTAAACTCTTTGGTTTATAAATGAGGGCGCTTTTCTGGAAGTGTTTGTTGTCGCTGTTCAGTTGCTATGTAGTGAGTGTCGGACTCTTTTGCGAGGCAATGGATGGTGGTTTTTCAGGCTCCTCTTTCCTTGGGATTCTCAAAGTGTGAGTAACTCCAAATGAAAAAATAAAGAAGAAACAAGTCCCGTGATTGCTGTCTTCTTCCCCATAGTCCCTCCCCGCAGGGTGGGGCCCTGAACCAGACTGATAATTTAGCTACCAGAGGCCCTGGTTTATCCTAAGCTGTGAAACTGGATGAGAGGCCCGCCCCTTGAGTGTCTGACCACGGGGCTCTTTAACTGAAAACTGCAGCTCCAAGTCAGGGTGTGCTGATTTGAATCTTTTTCTCCTGTGAAAAGGCAAGAGAGGTGAGTCTTTGTCCCTCCTTCGGGCCCCTCACCCCCCAGTGGGGTGGATGCTCTGTAGGGACACTTGCAGCCTGGAAAACCTGCACTGTCCATCTTCCCTCGGCTGCTTCCTGCTTCAGAAGACGTCCTAGCCACCTGCCTCCCTGGCTGGGTTAGATGTCTTCCAGGGATCTTCGTCCCCAGTACCCTGAGCTGCGCGCCCCCCCGCCCCCGCCAAGCTCATGCCTCCCCCTTGCTGAATACATACACCCCTTTGTCCTATTTGTTCACTCCCTCTCGCCAACAGACATTTGCTCCTTGGGGGCCAAGCACTTCTCTCATTTGTCTATCTCCAGCACCTGCACCCCTAGCACAGCTTTCGGGGGTGTTCCGAATTACTGTGAAAATTGTTTGGGGTCCCTGAGATAGCTGACCCAAGCCTAAGGATGACAGAAGGAACCCAGTTATGGAACCTGTCTGATTAATTAGCCACAGGGACATTCCAGTCATGCCAACTGCTTTGTCAAATGAACTCGGAGTAGGGGTCAAGGCGCCAAACCTCACTCCACCTGCAGAGATGGTGCTGTAGGCTTCTGAAATTCCTTGAGTACAATTCCAGTGTAAATGCAGTTTCACAGGATTACTTGTACCTTTTGCTTTTGCATATCACTTTTTTGTGAACATTTTGCCACCTCAACTGATACTCTTTTTGAAATCGTGACACAGGGTATCTCTGGGTAGTAGGACTCAAAATAATTTTTTACTTTCTTTTTGGTACTGTTTCAGCTTTTGCTGTTGAGCAAGTATCACTTTCATATTAGGGAGATAAAATCTATCTTTATCTTAAAATTATTCAACATGATTTTTAAAAGACTGTCTAGGTTTCAGTTTTCATCTTACGAGATCTTGGACAAATCCTTTCCCCTTTTGGAACTTCTTTTACCTATCTGCAAATGAGAAGTGGTTAGAAGGGGACTAGAATTGGACCAGATCAATGTTTTTCACATTGAATTTCAGCAGAGCTCAGACCTCTCTCCCCTCTTTATCTGTGTTTTATATCGTGGAGTTACAAGGAAGATTTTATTTGTCAGTGTTCTGTGGGGAAAAAAGGTGAAAACCAGGGGAGTAAAAATTCTCTGAGAAAATGTTCTGGAGATATAATAGCATGGTGACTAGTTAATAATACTGTACTGTAGATGTAAAGGTTGCTAAGAGTAGATCTTTAAAGTTCTTATCACAAGAAAGAAACATTGTAATTGTCATGATGGATGTTAACTAGACTTCTTGTAATGACCATTTTGCAATATACACATATTGGAATCATGTTGTACACCTGAAACCAATACATTATTTGTCAATTACGTCTCAATTAAAAAAAAATTTCTGAGGACACTCTGGCATTTGAAGATTCTAATATTTGGCCATTGTCTTTGAAGGCGAAGTCTTCCACCAACTGATCCCAACTCGGCCAGGATCTAGTTAGCTATAGTTGGGCACTGACAGTGCTTCTGCTGGTTGAGGTCTTACCTCGTGACAAGAGGGAAACATCCCTTCCTTGAGAGTGTGAACTGATTGATTTCTCTGGCTTTAATCTTGCCAAACAGTCATTAAGCCTGATGTAGTCATTTAGAATCCCCATTCAGTTCCCATCTTGTCCTCTTCTCTTGGTCACTGAGAGGCAGCATAGACGGGTGGGGCTTTGGCATCTAACTAGACTCAGGTTTGAATCCCAGTTCTGCCAACTTACTAATACTAGCTTTGTGACCTTCAGCAAATTACTTTTCAGAGCCCAGTTCCCTGTTTTCTTTCTCATACAATGGACCTAATTGGTCCTGCCACACGGAAGATTGCGGTGAAGTAAGATATTATATGCAAAGCTCTTGATGCCACCCAGAATGCAGGGTGGACCAGCTGCTCTTTGAGAAGAGCCTTCAGACAGGTGCTGCATGCTCTTTGCTTCTACCTTCATTCTTTCCATAAGTCCGTGAGCTCATCAAGGGCAGACATACTAACCTGTCTCCATAATGCTGGGCGCAGGATTAGGTTCAGCAACTGTTTAGTGAATTCTGGGTGAACAGGTGTGCAGTACGCACTGAAGACAGCTGCCCCTGGGCTCATCCATGATAAACACTGCAGAATGGCCGGGGCCCTGGGGATAAGAAGAGGCAGTCACTCCTCAGTCTAGCACGTCCTCATTGGCTTTCAAGGGCACAGAGGAGTCATCTCAGCATGACTGGGAGCACTGTGACTGGTTGGTCCAGTGAGGCTGGGCACCCCCAAGCACCTTCCTTCTACCGGGAACTGTGCTTGCTCAGTCGCTCAGTCGCGTCTGACTCTTTGTGACCCTGTGGACTGTAGCCCGCCAGGCTCCTCTGTCCGTGGGGATTCTCCAAGCAGGAATGCTGGAGTGGGTTGCCATGCCCTCCTCCAGGGGATCGTCTCAACCCAGGGATCGAACCCGGGCCCCCCGCATTGCAGGCAGATTCTTTACCCTCTGAGTCACCAGGGAAGCCCTGACCTGGAGCAGGCCAGCTCAGTTCTGGCTCTGCTGCTCACCCGCTGTGGGAGCCTGGGCCATCCCCTGCCCTATCTGGCTTCAGTTGGCTATGATGGCTTCTAATGGCCTTTCCAGCACTTAAGTCCAGTGACCTTGTTTTCCTGGGCCTTTGGAAGAGGTTGCTGGGGAGCAATCGGGAACATGATTTCCACTGCCCTAAGTCCCCTCTGATGCGGTCCCTTCTCTTTCAGATGCATTTCATCTTCTCAGATGAGGTAGTGCTTCTCTTTGATTTCTGGAGCGTCCACAGTCCTACAGGTAAGAATTGGGAAGCCCAGACTTGTAGATTGAGAAGACTTGTACCTCCAGGCAGTGGGAACCCAGGTTCTCATTATTGTTATGCTCTGTGGACATTTTAGGGAGCCTGACTCTTCTTGCATAAATACTGAGTGGTAACGTTGCATTTATAATTCCATTTGGAATCTCTGCCCTTCAGACTGCAAAGGGCTCTTTGTGAGGCCCAGAGAGGGTGCAGCTTCCCCCTCTGTTACAGGGGAAGGAACTGACACCCAGAGAGGGGAAAGACTTGTCCAGGGACACATGGTGTGCATCAGAGCCAGAACTAGATCAGGTCCTGTTGTTGCCTCTCAGCACCTCCTTCATACAAGGTTCACTGTCCAGCATCAGCTCAGAAGCCCAGAGTAGCTGCTGCAGCCCTTGACCTCAAATGAGACATAAATTCGAAAGAGACGAGTATTCCTTTGACTTGAAAAGGCAGAGTCCAGCACTAATTCATGATGGAGTTGTGTTTCCACTTAAGTACTTACATGTTAAAAATAGACTGCTGAGACCAGAGCGTTCACTCCAGGGATCCAGCTGTCTCTGTGAGGAGTCCACGTCTCCCATCTGCCCATTTTCTCTGATCCTTCTCTCTCTCTCCAGCTCTTTAATACTTTCACCCCCTATATGTGTTAGACCTGACTCACATTTGTTTTCTTCAGCCTTTCACCATTTTTAATTTCTGGGCTTATAATCTCTGCTGGCGACCTATGGATGGAGGTTGCCTTGATCACAATATGCCTACCTAAAACCTGGGAACAGACTATGAAAGGCATTGTAACATAATAGAAGGAACAAAGAAACAGAGCAGGATGTGTTGTTTCCTAGTTGAGTAGCTTTATTTAGTTACGAAGTCTGTTATTATCTCTGTTAATAGAAATAATACATGTTTCTCAAAAAGTCACTCTGAAATAGGACATGTGATTTTGTTAACTCCAGCTTGGTAGGCAGATTGTAAAATAAAAGTGCTAAGAGGACTGTTCTTAGATCAACAATGATCGTGGCAAAGGCAAGGGTTATGAATAATCCAATTCTGTAGAGCTCAGGTCCATATAAAACAATTTAAATGGCTGAAAACAACAAAATTCTGTAAAGCAATTGTCCTTCAATTAAAAAATAAATTAAGTGAATAAATAAAAATATAACAATTTAAAAATTGCTGTGTTTTGGAAGTGTCAATTCTTAGTTCTTAATTTATCCATTCAATTAAGTTGTGTTGAGTACCATCAAAAAATAAAATAAAATGAATAAAGATAGACTGGAAGAAGCCCAAACGCCCACCACTGCAGGTATTGATCAAAATTGATGCTGGTTGTTAGCTAGGACCTCAGCAGGGGTTGTTGGCTGAGGTCTTTGTGGCAGGGTGGCTAGGTTCCCAGAGTGAGTGTTCCAAGAGAAAAAGGTAGGGGAAAAAAGAGATAACAAGTTTTTTTTAAAAAAAAGCCTAGTTTTTAAGACCTAGCTTTGGAAGTAAGCATCATTTCCACCTTTATTGGCTGAGGCAGTCACAGAGCTCTTCTGGGACCAAAGGGGAGGGAACAGATCCCACCACTTGATGGCAGGAGTGCTGACACTGCAAGAGCATGTGGGGTGGGACAGCGAGGCGGCCATCCCTGGAGAGTCTAATCTTTCACAGACATTATGAAGCCACGGAAATAAGGTAGATCTGCCTAACTAGAGGGAACCCACACACCATGTACCGAGGACGCGTAGTGCTGCCACAGGGGTGCAGCTGGGGCGGTGGGCCGGTGGGCATGCTCCCCGCCACCCCCCAGCTTTGCCAGGTGGCTTTTCCTGCTGAGCTCAAAGCCACACTCCAGCAGGCCACTCCCACCAACAATGGGCTGGAAGGGGAAAGAGACAGGAGTTCCAAGCCCAGCAAGAGTGGGGAAGAAGATGCAAGAGGAAGGGAGGAGGAATGGATTCAGAGGGAGGGTGGGCGGTGCCCTGCCCCGCTTGTGCCAAGTCCCCAGTGAAGCTGCCGGAAGGGGAGCAGTGTTTGCCCGGCTGGGCTCTGTAACTCAGTCTCCTTCGACAGGCATGGCCCTTTCAGTGTTGGTCATCCTGCTTCTGGCGGTGTTGTATGAAAGCATCAAGGTTGGCAAAGCCAGGCTGCTCCACCAGGCCCTGATGAACCTGTCCATCCCCACCAGCCAGCAGCTTATCGAAGAGGCAGATCAGGATTCTTCAAGCTCAGACTCCCTGCCTGTCAGCAGAAGCCCTCTCAGGTAACGGACATGGGGTGGGGGTGGGGGAACGGGCAGAGTCCTCACATTCACCTTGAGAGGTAGGCTGGACCCGCAGGACACTTAGCCCCACTTCATCCAAGGGAAACTGAGGCCCAGGGGTGGACCAGGACTTGCCCAAGTGCTTCCAGTTAGTTAGCAGTGACGTGGACTACAGCCAGGTCTCCTGATGCCCAGGCTGGAGCTTTCTGAACAGCCACAAAGGAGGCTCCAATCTTTCTGACTCCGGTGCAAGCCTCAGTCCAGCAACAAGGGGGTCTATTCAGCCCACCCCCAAACCTCAGCAGGTTTTCTTAGGTCACTAAGGCTTCCAAACGCAAGATGGTACCTGCAGCTCTTCCTATACAAATGATAAAAATTGTTGTCAGCAGTGTACCAGCTTGATAGAGGGCAACCTCTTGCTCCTTCCTTCCCTCCCCATTCTGATAGCCACTGGGGATCCCCATTCTGCCCTCTCCGCAGCTCTGGCTGTGTTGTGTCTGTCTGCTCCTTAGGTTGGGGCCTGAACAGTCACAAACCTGCTGCAAGGGAGGTGTTTTCATACTGGCCTTACTAATACATGTTTTACTGATGAGGACATTTCAGTTCAGAGAGGTTAAGACGCTTGCGCTGAGCCATAGTTAGTACGTGGCAGAGCCAGAAATCAATCTGTTACCAGGGTCCATGCTCTTTCCATTGTAATACTTGCTTTCACAGCTCACAGTTGATTCAGGGGGAAAAAAGTCTGCCTTACTGATGATTTTGTATTATCCTTTGTCAGATGTGATTGATCACATATCTCAGTTTCCCCTTTGCCCTGGGTACCGGGAAGCTCAGAGCTCAATGTAGTGGAGAAATGACTATCCCAAACTCCTTGTACAAGTCCCTCTTCCCTTCTCTATCACCAGTTTCTGACATGTCTCTTTAAAAATAAATCTCTCCTGGGTGAAGCATACGAATTATAAATAGGCTAGTCCTGTAACTCGGTTGCTCTTTCCACTCCCTGACACCAACTCCTAGCTTCCAGCTCACTGCTGGCATTAACTCGGCGTTCCTGTTCATCTAGGTGGTTTTTGTGTCACTTCGGCCAGTCTCTGCTCCATGTCGCTCAGGTGGTCGTTGGCTACTTCATGATGCTGGCGGTTATGTCCTACAACACCTGGATTTTCTTCGGCGTGGTCCTGGGCTCAGGTGTGGGCTACTACCTAGCCTACCCACTTCTCAGCTTGACTTAGCTGGTTGAGGCTGAAGGCTCTGGGGGCTGGAAAGACCTGGGGCCTCGTTCCAGACCTTGAACTGCCCGCCCCACATCTCCTGTTTCTTCTTCTGGCTGTTCTCAAGGAATTGCCAGCTCCTGGAAACTTTCAGCTGAAGCCAGCACTTGCTCCCTGGAGTTCTGGGGCCATTGCCGCTCCTCAGCCAGGCTACAGAGGGCCCTGGCGAAGTCTTTCTGTGCCTTTAAGAAGGCTGCTGTGACGGGAGGGAGGGTGGAGACCAGAACCTGGCGGCAGACCTCATAACCATGGCAGCATCTGCTGGGACCCCTTTCCCTCCCTTGAGGGAAGAGTGAGTGACAGCTGACTAAAGGCAAAGAAGCAGGATGTTATCAGGGCTGTGACCCACCCTCCGAATACCGTGAGCTCCTCCCACGGGATGGCACTGCCTACCAGAAGGTGATAGTTACATGGCTTTAGGTGTCGGGGAGCTCTTCATGGCCTTAATCTTAGCCTGATCCTCCTCCTAATGCAAAACCAAGAATTCACTGAGTAACATTCAATACTAATGTTTTCTATTTATTACTTACTGCTCACCCATAGTGATCTGGTGGGGAAACATGCTTCGTTCAAATACTGAGTAAGCCATAGGGCATATCGACTGAAGATGTAATAAGCCATCAAGCCAAAGCCTTACATGAGTAGAGTTATTAGGTGGGGGGTTCTTCAGATATTGAACCTTTTCGCTTTAAAGAAAAGGAAAGAATAGACCCAGGGAGAGAAAATCACTGCTGTCTACTGTAATGTCTATACTCAAGTACCTCATGGGCTAGAGGAAAGATGGTCTGAAGCTTCGAGAATTAAAAAAGAAATTATTTTAATAAATATATATTTTTAAATAGTCTGTGACTGTCTTTTGTTTCTCCTCTTTCAAACAGCAAGCTTACGGAACCCTGAAAGCAACTGCAGGGGCTGAGCAGGGCTGTCCAAGGCCTGAGTCTGTCTGTCTCCCATGAAGACAACTCTGTGCTCCGCAAAACTCAGCCCTGAAACGCTGTTCCCTCAGCAGACACCCTCAATGCCAGCCTAGTCAACAAGTCATTCTTCTGTTTACATAACAAATAATGATGGTGAACCTGCCATAAGAAAAAGAAGTGTCACATGGACTATAAACGCCCATGTCGGCACTGTTATTACCACCTTCTCTCCCTGAGGGCAGAAGCAAAAATATATCAAAGCCGCTTTTTAAAATTTACAGTAAGAAAGAGCTGAAACAGAAAGTATAGTATGTGACGCCTTCAGTACTGATCGGTGTATTCTCCCCACATAAGCAGGGAGCTGGGAAGCTGCTCAGTGTCACAACAGGTGTTAAGATTTGTAGTCTTGTAGTTGGACGGTCAGGCATCCACTTCTGTGTCCAGCTAAGGTCCCTCCTCTGCCCTGAGGCACCGCTGAGATAATCTCCATAGGTGGCCAGCAGCCTCTTTAGTTTGATGGTCTCTTTAAATACATTGAGGCTTTCACAGCATGGAGGGCTTTTTAAAAATCTACTGTCTACAGAAATGGATTATATGGCCATGTTAAGTAGGCATTTCAACTGTATTCAGAGCCAACTCACAAAAGGTGGTATTTTCTCTGCTTGAATTTTTGTTTTTAACAAACACCTATATAAAACTTATTATGTGCCAGACAGGCAGTGTTCTAAGCACTTTACAGTATTAACTCATTTAATTCCCACAATCAAGTAGAAAGTATTTCTGTCCTTGTCTTAGAGATGAGGACACTAAGGCAGCTAAGTACAGTCACCCAGCTAATAAGTGGTCAGGCTCCCTGGCCTGGAGTCTGCTCATCAACTCAGATGAGGGTTGTGGCTAAGAGAGTAACTGGCTTTGGCCACATGGCATCCAGTGGAACAAGGGTGTGAATGCAGACAGTGGAGACTGAAAAGTCTATGCTGTGTGTATTTCACCCTAACAGGATGGAAAATTCTGTTTCAGGGTACCTGGGGTGGGGCCCAGGAGCCTATATTTCTGACATACAACACTGCCCTCCTCCCTCAACCCAAGACAAAGGCTGCTGGGCTGGCCGAGAGGCCTGGCTTCAGAATCCCATGGCCAGGATTTGCATCCCTGTTCTGTTACTAGCTGTGTAACGTTAGACGGGTGACTTTACCTCTCTAAGCCTCAATGTCCTCTATAAAAGGATAAATATCTTCTGTGAGGGCCGCTGGAGATGAGACAGTCTGGGTAAAGTCCCCCACAATAGCGCCTACTTGTTAAACAACAGAGTTTAGCAAATGGTAGTTCTTACTGCCTCCCAGGCCCACAAACGGAAAACAGGCTCAAAGCTATCATCAAAAAGGATACATCTGATTGTCAGGTGAGATGGAATGGAACCTGGGTTCCTATCTTATAAACATTTTAACTCAGGGAACATTTTTATTAAAAGTTATTCTACTTTTTAAAGACTGCCTACAGGGTCTTTGGAAAATGCTGGAATAAGTAAAATGACCATGAGTATTTTCTCACTACTATTCCCTGCATTAGTCCTGGACCTGAAATCAGGGGAAATGGAAGCCACTCTTCAAGTGAAGACTCAGTCTCTCAGGGGCCATCCATGATGGATGACGACAGGACACAGGGACCCTCCCCATCTTCTCTGCCTGGCTTCCTAGGGTGCAGGACCTGCAGGAGCCCATGGACGACAGGACTGGTCCTAACCCTGCTGCCCTGAGCCTGAAAGTAGCCGGGATGCTGGGAGAGCAGAGTGGTGACTTTCTCGGAAAGCCTCACAGTTCAGGGTTAAGTACCAAAGGAAACATGTCACAGTGCTCTCAAGCATGTTAAACAACCCAGATCTGTTACAACCCCTACCCTCAGGTTCCCAGAGAGCATGGACTGCTCTCGGAAGCAGATTTGATTTCACCCCCAAAGCCTGAGTCGGGTTTCATTGCAGACATTTATTTTAGTTTTGTTAATTTCAAATATTGATTGACCTCTTATATCAGATTTAAGGCAGAGAAAAGACATAAGTCCCAGTACTGCCGGCAAGGCTGTTACCTGGGTTTAGATGGGGTACTCTGCCCTCCACCAGTTCTACCAGGGAGACCTCACCGCAGGTGACAGTGCCAATGCTGGGACACGGCTGAGCACTGAGAGGCAGGTCAGTCTGGAGTTCAGAGAATAAAAAGCTTGGGAGAGGGCACGACTCTCATAGGGACTCGCTGGAGGGGAGCCCCCCAGCCCTTTCTCTACGGGGGACTCTCAGGCAGGACCAAGGCGGGCTGCTGCCAACCGCAGTGTTCTGAAGACAGGTTCACACGCTGCTTCACCTGGTCAGGTGGGGGCTCGGAGGTTGGCTAGCTCAGGTATCTGAACTACTGTCCTCAGATGCTCACCTTCACCTCACCCCGTGGCTCGTCTAAAGCCAGCGCTGGCTGTGCAAAATCATGCCTAGGGAAGGGTAGAGAAACCTCTGCACCGGTTTCCTGGGTCTTCATCCCAGCCAGTCTATGTCATCATCATCGTCATCATCTCCAAAGAGGGGTGTTGGGGGCGGGCGGCCCTTCATGCTCTGACAAGACAGGAAAGAGTAGTCAGTCCTCACTTGTCCCTGCACCAGATGGACTTCCTGCCGGTGCAAGATGAAGCGATCAGCATCTTTCCTGGCTCCAGGTTGGAAAGGAGACTGCTGGTTAGGGTTTAACTGAAGGGACAAACCCTGAGGCCAGCAAACTCCAGGCTTCCAGAAAAGCTGAGACAAGCGGTCAGAGAAGGGAGACAATCTTTCAACACGGAGACAAGAAGACCGACTTGGTTTGTCTCGTTCCGTCATTTATTTGAGAAACACGTGTATTGATTGGACAGGTTTTCTTGCATGTGGTAACTGATACATTTCGTGTGGGAAGAGAAAGGGGGAGCAGGATAAGGAGGCAGAGAACACAGGAAGAAGGAAGCTGGGGCGAGTACAGTCACATCTGAAAAAACGCTGCTGTGGCCTGCGGCAGCCTGTCTGGCTCCGAACGGGGGCTCACCATTTGAGAGAGAGCCGAATTTAAAGTCTTTGCCACCCTGCCAAGTGGAGAATCCCAAGATGAAGAAAACCCAGGGACGCAGGCTCATGTCCTGGTCTTGCTGGCACCTCCCTCCCTCCCTCCCACCAGGCAGGAGGATAAGGGGGATTAACGAGTCAGAGAAAACTCTCCCCGCTTTTCGTGACTTGAGCCTCTGGCCTTTTCCCTCTAGACTGGCAGGGAGAATCCTATGGGTTGCTGGGACTGATGCTAGAGATAGGCACTCCCAAGTGTTCTCTACTAAGTAAGGTACCTTCTGCTCTGGTGAACTACTCTGGCCCAGGATCGGACTTCCCAGGGCCAGCCAAAGGAAGGCGGTGTGATGTGCTCAGAGGTCCCTGAGCTAATTCCATCTTCACCACCAACTAACAGACCTCAAACCTCTCTGTGGGCATCAGTGAAGTGATCTCTAAATTCTGATTGGTGTGGGATATTAAAATGTGGCTCATTGCTTCTGTTTTGTTCCAGCTGAGGTTCTGGTATGCATCTACCAGCTATGTAACCTTGGATCAGCTGTTTGATCTTCCAGAGCCGTGGCCTTCTTTCTATGAAATGGAATAAAAGTGCCTACACTTCACTGAACTGGAAGAAGATTAAATGTCTATAGTTTTAAGAGTACCCAAAAAAAGACATTAACTTGATGATATTAGTATTAACACCAATAATGTTCTGCTAAAGTCAGAAAACTCCATCCATATATAGGGCAGTCACTTGAGATACTCAATTGGCTTTTTGTTCATATTCAGAACTCTCAAATGAAAATGTAATTCTTGGGAAGAAAGGCCAATGGAGGAGCCAGTGCGCTTTCCCGGGGAACATAGGCAAGAGAGAAGGGTTCTGCTGCACGGGAGCCAGATCCCAGCTCTGCTACAGCCATTTTCCCAAGGTCTTGCCAAAAGGCAAAATCCATTTTGGTGGATACAAAAGGGGAGAAAATCTGCCCCCCTTC